GTCCGTAATAACTAGTGGAGCAAGTTCATTTGCAAAGGCTTTCAAAATTTTGTTAGGTATCATATCTGGACCAGGACTTTTATTGGTTTTAATTTTGCGGAGTTCATTGTACACTTTATTAGCGTCGATGAGGTATTCACCTGGTACATTGAAATCAAATTGTTCTTCCTTGCGTGTTAAAGGAGTAAAATGTGATGTAAGACCGGAAAGGAAACAGTTAAATACTTCAGCCAAGTCATGGCAATTAGGAATATCATTAGAAAGTAGTTGATTATGCCAACAACTTTTGGAAGATTTGTTTAATAATTTGTTTCCACCATCTTGAGGGATTGGAAGTTTTTAGTTTCTCAACTGATTGGGCATAATACTTAAATCGGGCCGCTTTAATTGATTGCTGGACTTGGTTTCGCCAGAGTTTATACGCATCAGAATTTTTCCCATAATAATGGAGAGCTTTTTGACGTTTTATAATGAACTCTTTTATTGATGACGTGAGCCATGGTTTGTCACATTTAGTTACTTTAGTTCTTTTCAAAGGGAGTAAAATATCAATCATATCACTCATTATGTCATTAAATTTTCCATATTTATCTTCGCACGCAATTGTAGTAAAAATATCTGACCAATCAAATGAAGTTATCCAGCGGCCAAAAGGTTGTAACGAGCTTTCCCTAAGGTCCCGCTTCCATACCTTGACTTTATCAGGTTTTAAAGGGGGATTTAAGGATTTTAAACAAACCATGTTATGATCACTGTTTCCTAGAGGTGGAAATTTGATAGGATCGTATAGGCTATCATTGCGGTTAGTTAGGCACCAGTCTAAGGTTACATTATCTCTAGTATGCACCTTAATTATTTGGAAAAGGCCAATTGATCTTTGGATATATTTTGCGTTGAAACCAGTACTCCTATAATTGAAGTCTCCTGTGATTAAAACAAGGACATCAGGATGTGATTGCATGAAAGTATCAACATTGGTTTGGATATGAGAATAAAGGTTTACATTTTTGGTGTGGCCAGCTGATGTGGAGTGGTAGATTACAGCCAATAGTAAAACTGAAGTTGAGCGGGGGAGCCATGTGGGTCTAACGAGGAGCCACAAGGACTCAACTGTAGGATCTTCAAAAGCAGTTAGGCGTTGACAATATATACTGTTGTTTATAAAAATGCACACTCCACCTCCACAAGATGAAGAGCGATCATTTCTAATAATATTAAAATTTGGAAGAGATATTGCCGAGTCGGGAATCGTAGAGGAAAGCCAAGTCTCAGTAATACACACAATGTCGATTTGGTTGATGGAAACAACGACACTTAATTCATCTATCTTAGAGGCAATTGAGCGCACATTGGAAATGAGAAGGTTGGGCATGCAGTAGATCTTCCAAAGTTTTATAAAAGAAACGGACTTGATCCAAGTCTAAATTTTCTCCTTTGCACCTATTTCTTGCACGAAAGACCCTAAGTTCCAATTAGAAAGAACAGGCTTTAAAATAAGTCTAAAATCGTTCTATTAGATATATAGTATTTTGAAAGTTATCAAATTAAGCACAAAAGATGGACACCTTGTTTATAGTATGAGTATATACAGGAAAACTGCTGAGTTAATTGACGCCCACTATTTTTTCATTGAACCCCAGCAGATTCCTTTAATATGGTAATATTTTATGTGGTGGGTAATACGCTCCCCGAAAAATTTAGTGATATACAGGAAACGATCCATCAATAGAACTAGCTGGAGTAGCTATATATATGTGCACTTTGTCCGACTGTTTATGTACCTGTATGGGATGACTTTGTTTGTATAAAGTACAGTATAAGTACAAGCCGAAAACGCAAGCATTGCCATTAAATACAATACAACGGTAACTCCGAATAAAGTGAGCATTTTGATTCAACCTTTCGACTTTATTTAGTCATCATCAGGAATGATTATATTACATGTGCATGCGTTATATATACTCTTCGTAATTTGATATAGTTAAAACAAAATTGATAGTTTTCTGGATGCTTCAGTTCCATGATTCAGTTCCGATGTAGCGGTCTGAGATTGTCCTCGTGCTGAGATTGTTATAGTACTACTGCGCATGCTCCAAGTGTAGCATGCAATCTCAGCACGTGGTACAGCGGTCTGAAATTGTATGGTGCTGAGATTGTCATGCTGAAAATGCCGTGCTGAATTTGTTGTGCTGAAATATTTTAATATAATATCCTTAACTTTCCACATAGGTTTTATGTGATCTTTTAAGAGTTTAGGAGAAATTGCATAAATTTTAGAGCCAAACTTATCGATTAGCCAAGGGCATCGTGCTGAATTTGTTGTGCCGCCAGAATCAGCTGAGATTGTCGAAATATTTATCCTGAATTTATGTCTGGTGTTCAATATGCACTCTTATCCTTTCCAAATAAATTATAAGAATTTACGGAAATTGTATAAATTTTAGGGTCAAATATTTCGAATCTTAGCAGAATTTAGGACATTGTGCTGAGATTGTCGTGCTGAAATATTTTAATATCCTTTCCACAAAGGTTTTATGAGATCTTTTAAGAGTTTAGGAGAAATTGTATAAATTTTAGAGCCAAGGGCGATCGATCAGCCAAGGGCATTGTGCTGAAATTAGGACATCGTGCTGAAAATGTCGATGTAAGGACATCGTGCTGAAAATCTCGTGCTGACAAATGCCGTGCTGAATTTATTGTACTGAGTCTGGGATTGGCAGATTATCGAAATATTTATCCTTTTCAAATTAATTTTAAGAGTTTACGAAAGTTGTTTAAATCTTCAAGCCAAATTTGTCGGGCATGTAGTAAAAACACTGACTACCGGAACACCGGAACACCACCGGAACACCGGAACACCACCTAACCCTAACCTCAACCCTAACCCCCAACCCTAACCCTAACCCCAAACCCTAACCCCAAACAAAATGGGGGTGTTCCGGTGTTGCGGTGGTGTTCCGGTGGTGTTCCAGTGGTGTTCCGGTGGTGTTCCGGTGGTGTTCCGGTGGTGTTCCGGTGTTCCGGTAGTCAGTGTTTTACTACATGCCAATTTGTCGAATATTAATGTAATAAAATCTAGGGCATCATGCTGAAAATGTCGTGCTGAGTGAATTTGTTGTGCTTGGAATATTTGTCCTTTTCAAATAATAATACATCCGTTTACGAGAATTGTAAATAGATTATGCTAACTACAGTCTACGGGCATACTTTGAATAAATTACTCACAACAGCAAAGTGAAAAACATGCATGGTCAATATATTCTTTGGTAATTCTTCTATAGCTGTAAATCTAATATATACATTTTATACACCAATAATCAACTGAACATACGTCACTAGTATGAACTGTACGTCACCAGTGACCAGTAATTCTTTCTATTTACAGTTTTTAGTATAGGTTAGTATAGGTAATAGCATGGTTTTAACTTACGTTTATAGCGAACATTCCACTGGCAAAGTTTTCCCGGCTTTGTTATATAGCATTATACAACGCTAATAGCTTGAAAATTCCACTCAACAGTGTAAATTTTGTCAGGGCCATTTTTAAGGATTTTCCCGTGGCCGGGGGGGGGGGGATTTTTTGAAAAGGGACCTTTCTGTGAGATAATATATTAGAAGGGGATAGCAATGGCTGAAGGCCACGTGTGTGGCCAATATACCACGCATGAAAAGAAAATTTTTGAAATTTGAATCCCGGAAATGTCATTTCCTGCGTTCTGAGCATCCAAACCTGCTCTAAAATTTGTGCTAACTATACCTGTATTTGAAATAAAAGAAGGAAAAAATGTACAAAAAGTAAAAAAGAATATTAACCGTAATTTATCATTAATCCTGCATTCCAAAAAATAATAAAATTATTAACAATAATTTATCATCACTTAGTGGTAGAAAAACGTAACAATTTAAATCGATTTTGTTAAATAAGGACAAAGGATAAAGCCTAAAACTTACTTTCCGTTTATCTATTTGTTAATCTTCGTTTGTTTGTTTGTATAATTTTAGGGAAAAGGGGGGGGGGGCAAAATGTGATTTCGTGGGGGGTGAGGGCATAAGGGCGCACTGGGGGCATTTGCCTCCCCAGCTTGTATGTTAGAAAAGGCCCTGAGTTTTGTTAGTCTTGTTTAAGGTAAAGGCTTTTCCATTTAAAAATAAAGATAGAAGCCATATTTCAACGCGAAGTCAACTTTTACTTTATGTAGCGCGACGCCATGTTTGTTTTGTTTTGTTTTGAAGCAATCTGTGACCGTTACTTCTTTAAACTAAACTGCTTTAAACTGATTGGTTGATATTATCATCACAACGTTTTTCCACCAATCAGATCAGTTCGTTACAGATTTTTGCACTGTTGTTACAGATTTTTGCGCTGTTGTTACAGATTTTTGCACCGTTGGTACAGATTTTTGCACTGGTGTTTGTGATTAACTGCACTGAAATCAACCAATCACAGTCGAGTAATATTTTTGTTTATATTATTACAAAAGAAACATGTATTCTTTTTAACAACTCTTGGTACTCTTTCACAACCACGATGAAACCAGTCCAGGCACTTATCACACTGAACCATAAAAATGTTCTCTCTGTATGGTTGTCTGCAATGGCAATATATGCCAATCTCTTCGCTGCTGTGGTAAAGTTGGTGATTTTGACTATAGTATGGGACATTGGGAAAGACAAGATGACACCAGCTTCAATGCACTTCACCAGATGTCGACGCATTTCCTCTTGCTGCCAATCACAATCTTGCGGTAAGACACCACAGCATAGACTGGTTGCAACTGCAAGGGCAAACAAGCCATAGTCGGATGTCCCTTCTTGCTTCTGCATGTCTGCCCACAATAACGTCATGTGTTTAGATACAGGCATAAGCATGTAGGCAATTTGCCTCAAAACGTTTTGCTTACACGAGGCATTAATGTTATTGTACAAAGAGTCATAAATGACGACTGAGGCCTTTGGGCAGCCGACATAACTAATTATTATCCAATGATTACCACCAAAATTTAAACTTGGACAAAACTCTGCTCAGGTGTACCAACTCGTTGACAACCTTCGGGAGCAAATACGCAGACAGCCTGCAAGCCACCAATATCAGGAAATTGTTTTGCAAGCATAGCCTGTGCATGTTCAATATGTTCATCTGATAACCATGCACCATTCTGAATGTCTGGGAGAAGTCGTGAATTGTTCTTCATCAGGTTTGCTTTTTTGACAGGCACTGACCCAACTTTCCTCTTTCTCGCTTTTGTATAACTCACAATTTTTATGTCTTCATCAATTTTGTTGGGAATGTTGGTAACACTGGCTTCATGTTCCTCTAAGGACTTAACAGCAGAGGTGGGACTGTCTTGGGAATCCTTTATTGGACAAGGAACGGCAGACTGATTTCTGGGAACATCATTGTCTGTTATATCTGTGCAGCTGCTTGGGTCAGAATTAATAGATACTTCAGGCACCACCGGTTTATGAAGATCACTTGTAACATGTGGACGGATTTGATCATATGCGACTTTCACTTTTAACGTTTCCCCGCTTTTGATATGGGCCAATTGGATCCTTTGGTGGTTATCGATTTCAACAATCCTAAATGAAATGATACATTCAAATGACTTTGCATAGAGGGGTCTGATCTGTTTCTTGAGAAACAAACAGTATCATTCTATGGGTTCACAAGCCAGGCCCTTCATCTTTGTTTCCCCCCTTCCCAAAAAACCAGGGAGTATCATTTTGTCTTGTGGGAGGCATGGTAAAAATAATATAATCTTAAAGTATGATTTCACTGATTGAGACCTACAATAACTGTTTCACTGTTTTACTTAATACCTGTTTAGACCAGTCCATAGAGCATCCAACTTGCCACCTTTTCGTCCAGTGTTTTTCATGCATTTTCGAAGGAAATATTAAAAACCTTCACACACTTGTTTTTTGTTTTTGCATATTCTTCCTTTTGCTTTGCTTGGGCCTTCTTAATATTCTCGTCCACCTAATAGTATGAAAAAGGAACATTTAGCAACAAAACATGTTGCAGTCAGTCCTTGTGGACGCCTCTTAATTGTAAGTGGACACCATCCCAATCTTGAAACCAGAGTATACACATTCGCACGTTAGGTTTGGCATAACTCTGGGAAAATCGAGATAACGTTAACAAGTTTCATTGGCTGCCGTGAATGAGATAACAAATTACATTGGCTCATTTGTGGGATAACCTGCAAACGTTACCTTCTTTCCAACATTCTTCATCATATCAGCCCTTTCTGCAACCATCTCCTCAAACTCTTCTGCAGATGGATCAAAGGCTTGATATCTCCCTCGTCTGAAGGGTCTTCCATCCTCAATTAAAAGAAAAGAGTTTTTATGAATTGAAGCAGTGATAATCATTTTGCTTGGTTTATGTACACTGCATTTTGTACTTACCTCCATTGGAGTCCTTGCATGCCGTCCAAACATCAGGAAGAAAGGACTATACTTTGTCGAACCTTGCGTTTGGGTAGGAATCGAGAAAGCTAGCTATTTCCTCTAAATAGTCATCCCAGTTATCTTGGTGCTCATTGATAAGTTTTGCTAGTCGCACCTTTAGTGTTTGGTTTGTGCGCTCATCAAGTCCATTGGTTTGTGGCTGGTATGCCCTGGTGACCGAACGAGAAATTCCCAACTGCCTACAGATCTCTGTGTTCACCTGTGAAAATCACAGCAATAGTTTCAATAAATTGGTCACTCTTTTTAACTCCAAATGGCTTTATGCATCAAGGGGAAAGGTGTTGGGCCTGTTAGAGTAAACTTAGAATCGGATATGTTGAATTTGAAACGGTAAACCAAATTATAAATTACCTTCGCAACAAACTCCCGTCCTTGATCAGATAGCAATCTACATGGGGCTCCCTATCTTGTAGATAAAAACAAAAATGCATTAAAATACACTAGTGGTTCAAGATTAGAGATCTGGTATACAAACTATCCAGAACACAACAAATCACACTTATTTACTGCAAAGATAAATTCAATTACTTTGTTTACCTGCAAACAAAGGTTTTAATGCCATGAGCAACACTTTCTTGTCTACAGCCAATGAAAATCAGTCTAGTATCAATCAGCATTCAGAATACAAACTTTGAATTTTATTTTCTTTATTGCTGTAAAAATTCTCAAAATGGAGGAATTCACAAATTTTGAAAATTTTGACCTTTTAAATTATATATTTTCTGACGAAAACGACCTACCTGTTCTTCCAGCAGAAGACACCGAACCAGATGAATAATGAATAAGTAATAAGTAATAGAACGAATTAAGTCGTGCTATTAACGCCATAATCATACTCGTGATTAACAAAACAACCTCCCGCTACGCGATCGGTTGATTTCGTAATCACTCGTATGATTATGGCATTAATAGCGCTCCTATTCGGTCTAGTGCCATCATTAACTGTACCGCAGTACAATTAGTGATTTTCCCAAAAGAAACACAATAGCGGGTATTTAAACACAAATGAAATTGCCCAAGAAGAACTTAAAACAAAAGAAAGAAATGAAAATACGAACAAAAGTACCAAATTTTGGAGAATTATCCAATTTTGTCATGCTAATAATAAACAAGTACGGCGGCTAGTCCAATTTTGCCAAAATTTCCAAACATTAATCGTACTATTAATCCCTAATTGTACTCGCCATCGCATGATTACCTATACATACATCGTAGACGCTTGAAGACAAAGCCAAGCGTTATGTACTGTTGCCTGCGCTAAGGGGCTTCGGTGGCGAAGTGTTGAGCGCACTTGTGATTAGCGCACTCAGTGAGAACTTTCTCAATGTGCTTGAACCCCGTCCTCATGTGAAAAGAGTAAAATGTCAACGCTCTGCCGAAAATCGTGGGTTTCCTCCGGGAACTCCGGTTTCCTCCCAGAGGGAAAGTTGACATGGTGGATTAGGTAAAAGGGCCCACAGTCATTGGCATATGCTGTTGTGGTGACCCTGCCCTAGTTGGCAAAGCTAATAAAATAAAAAATCTATGACGTGACTAAGCTCAGCGTGTCACATTTGAAAAAGTTGACGAACTTTTTCATTTCGCAAATATATGTACTACAAGGGTCCAATTTTCGTTACAATACCACGCAATTTTACAAAAAAAGTCGACCCAAACGACAATAGCAAAAATTCACATTGAATAAGGGGCCGTGTCCATATTCATGTTGCCACGCTTCGCGTCAAATTGACGTTAAGAGTGGGTGGGTTTTATTCTAACTTGCCTGACGTTTATTCGTGGCATAATGACAATTTTTTGAAAATTTTGAAGAATTTGAGGTGAACTCATCATTTGAGGTGAGATCATCAATTCATAATAAACTCTCGCTATTTCCTGGCTAAAACATGACTGCCACGCTTGACGTTAATTAGGGTGGGTGGGTTTGAGTGTTAACGTCAATTTGACGCTAACCGTGGCAACATGAATATGGACGCGGCCCCTAACATTATTCGCAAGGCTGAGCTATGTGATATTTTCTTCCAGATCTCGACGAAAACTTGAAAGCTGGCGATAAAAGTCTTGATGATATTCTCCCCCGTGGCAATGTCCAACCCAACCCCTCCCCTCCACGTTCCTTTGGTTCATTCACCTCATCATCAGTAACACGTGATAGCAATGGCGTAAGTTTATCCAAACATATATGATCCACTAATGCCAAAAGTATAATGGGAATAAGATATTTTATACGGTGAAATGCATTACAGATCATGAAAATTCCTGGAATGGTCAAAATGTGCTATGGTGTGCGCATCTTGCCGTTCGCGCTTGGAATGTACAGTTGACTATGACAACCGTAATTGAAATAGTAAATAAACACAATGTAATAAACGTTCTGGGCATCCATTAGCCCATTAAATAGTGTGTGTTTTCTTTACTTATTATAGGTTGTTGAAAGCAAGAAAACAGTGAGATATTCAAGGGGGAATGAAGAGACCTATGGTAGGAGGGGGAATGAAGAGACCTATGAGACCTATGGTAACAGTACAATAAGGGGGAAATGAAGAGACCTATGAGACCTATGGTATGAGACCTATGGTGATAAACCAAGGGGGAATGAAGAGACTACGAGACCTATGGTAACAGTACAATAAGTAGATATATATGTTTTGTGGACAAAGCGAAGCCGAAAGAAAGTCCCAGTCACTAAGTATCTTACCATATACCAAATATCAAAGAACACAGAAAAACGATAAAGAAACGAAAAAGCTGCATGATTTTCGCTCAATAACTGAATGATTTTATTATTCACCAATTATTATCCGCCACTCAGAACTGTGCCGGGTGACAGTCGAATTCCGCGAGTTTCACGTGACACGCTCTCGTCCAATGAGATTCAAGATACATGGTATGTAATAATTTGAATGTCATCCTCTTTTTCCAGAGTATAGTCCACTCTTCGGTTGTTCAATTTTACTCTTTTGAAAGATGTTATCAACGCCGTTAATGTTTTTAAATGTTTTAGGTTACAATCACACGAAGAATTGATGGTAAAGAATATATAGTAACACACAAAACGGACGAACACGGAAACAAAGAAACGGAAGAAAATATCGTCGAGCTAGGCACAGGTATTGACACAATGAATGAAAACTTTTAAAATTGTGAAGTAACTTATTTTATAGATTTTTTGTTTCCACACTTCATTGTTGAGATATTTTGACTTATGTGATACGCAAATGAATCTGTCCGTCATGGGCGTCAATCCTGGGGGGGGGGGGGGGGGGGGGGGGGGGGGGGGGGGAGGGATGGGAGCGACGCGTCCCCCGCTTTTTGGAGTGGGGAGGGAGATGAGTATCTAATTATCTAACCTGAAGTTCAGGCCCTAATCACAGAATAGGGCCTGACACAAAACCTATCTAAAGTGTGAGATTCCCGTCCACCTGGTGGACGGGAAATCTGATTGGTTGATCAGCATCATGAAGGATTTTGATTGGTTGCAAGTT